CTTTATAACTAGGAAGAATGAGTAATAACAAGACATAGGTCCATGCTGCACACTTTCTGCACAACCCTGCATAAATAATACCTTTGAAAAGAAACGTGAAAGCAGAACAGAACAGAATATTGGCCAAGTGTGATTTTCACACAAGAAAGTTATCTCCAATGCATAAGCTCTCAGTGTACATAGAAACAAGGTAATATAATCAGTGTACCAGTGGTGGGTTGCAGGCGGTACGTCCCAGTATGCGCGTACTGGAGTCAGCCCGGAGCACCGGATACCGTTCCGGTACAGTGCTCCGGAGGGCCCACCGACCCGCCCAAGCTCCTTACTGGAGTTTAAAGGCTTTTGCACTTCTGCGCAGGCGCATGGCATATACAGCTCCTATGTGATGCTCCACGGAGCAGCTGGAGCGTTGCGGAGGCGCTTGAATGCATGTGCATGCGCTGCACGCGTTCAGGAGGACGCTGCTGGCCCCGCTCCAACCGTACCAGTTGGAACGGGATTTGCAACCCACCACTGCAGTGTACATACAAACAATATGTACATGCAAACACCAAGTGTACATACAAATAACAATATAATCATAAGATACCAAAAGATGGTAGTAGAAAAGATGAGAAGGATAATAATAATAATTTAGCCATACTACATGGGTAAATATCTTTAGGCATAAGACAGTACTGTGCTAATTAGGGATTCAGCAGAGTGATGGCACGAGGGAAAAAACTGTGTTTAGTTGTTTTGGCTTGGTGCAATGCTCTACAGTGGGATCCTGGCGCAGTGGTTAGAATGTAGTACTGCAGGCTATCTCTGCTGACTGCCGATTGCCAGCAGTTCAATTCTCACCTGCTCAAGGTGGATTCAGGCTTCTATCCTTCCAAGGTGGATAAAATAAGGACCCAGATTGTTAGGGGCAATATGCTGACAGCTTAAAGCTTTAAGCTTTACAGCTTAAAAGAGGCTGTAAAGCACTGTGGAGTGGTATATAAGTCTAAGTACTATTGATATCCTGAGGGGAGGAGTTGAAACAGTTTATGTCCAGAGTGTGAAAGGTCTATAGAAATATTATTATTGTGCAGTTCCTCCATGTTATCACAAAATATGAGATATTATGTATATTTTTCCAGGAATCAGTAATGTCTCTTAAATCAGTGTTTAAGGTGTCAGGACAAGATACCAATTTATCTTCATTTTATTAAAGTTTCAAAAAATCAGTACAATTTCAATATTTCATATATTTTCTAGCTATATTCTTCATTAATCAAGATAATATTCACAGATTTGATAACCCTCCAAATGTAGGGGCCTTTATCTTATCTTTAAAATCTGTTGATAGAAAAGCCTGATTGTATTTCATTCTATTCCATAAAATCTGCTACGGAAGAGATTGCCTGTAGTTCAGTCCTAAAAGTATCAGTCTAAAATTTTGAATTTTTCTGTATTCTTTTTTGTTTATGTTTTGGTTATTTTCAAGATAGACAGTCTGGGCATATTGCCAAGTCTACTGTTTATTTTTAATAAACATTACTAATAATAATGTTTGAAACTGTTTGTAATTTTCAGTATAAAAAGAGAGCTGAAATCACCATCTTTGTAAAGTTATCAACTTTCCCTTGTTTTTCCTTCCTATATCTTTTTTACGATTCTTTCTCTTTAATAACGTCACTTGCTTTTTCTTTGATTTTTATGCACCTAATCACCTTTCACTTTTTTCTTTTAAATATAGGTTCTATATATATATACATAATAGAATGGTATTTGCATGCTAAAAAAAGTCTTTACAGAGGTTCTATCTCTATGAACGATACTCATCAAATGTATTAAATATTAAAAATAGAATTTCCAGAATTGTAGAAGTAAAACAGATAATTGTCCCTCTTGTCTTCTTGTGTTTAATCAATTCTGGTTTAGTAACAAATGTAGGAACTCATTAATAATTCTATGCAACAGTTGATTTGTGCCAAAAGTGTAACAAAGTAAAATTTCACCCCAAAGATAGATAGATAGATAGATAGATAGATAGATAGATAGATAGATAGATAGATAGATAGATAGATAGATAGATAGATAGATATAGAAATAAGCAAGTAAATTAGATACTAGCTTCAAGTAATATAAGAAAATACATGAAAGAGCCTATAACTATTAATCACTTCTCTCTTTACCAGTCCACAATGTTGTATAGTATATTAGTACTCTGATAAAGTATTGATAAAATATCCTTATACAAATAGAAGTAGTTCAGTATGAGAAGACCAATTTTTAATATCTTAGCATTTAATGCAATAAACTCTGGAATTTCTCCCAGAAATTAAAGTATTAATAATAGAGCCTAGACTCCCTTATGCATGTGACAAATCAGAGGTAACAGAGATACAAAGAATAATTATATTACTTCATTTATTTGATTAGACTGCTGGTTTCATAGGGATACTATTTATATGCATTGCCAGGGGGTGAATGTGCACGTAATTTGGATAATTAGGAAGAGTGTATAATCAAAGTTCAAATCTGGTTTTACATTAAGTGTGCTTTTTCAATATTAAGCATATGCTCTGTGTAAAAAGCTGAAAACCCAGCACTCTGTTTTTTGAATGTATTAAGTGCATCAGTGAATACAAACTACAGGTAGTTTTCTAGCAAAACACTAAAACTAATGCTAAACATTTATATAGATGACTGCCTGGTAATGATTCTGGATATTTCTTACCAATCCAGTTTCTTTTATTAGAGAGCTAGAATTTAATAGTCCTTTGTCTCAGTAAATAAGGTCTATATTAAGAAACATCGGGAGCAGCGTATGATCTTCCTTCCATTCTTCAAGATCTCTATGCCCTTTTTATTGAGTTATGTTAATTTTCAACATGGAAAACTGCACTGTTTTATTTATCATGCTAGTCCTTTCCTCTGTAGCTTCAGTCCATTTATCATTTTAGCCCAGCTGGACTAAAATCTCTCCAAGTTCTCTTACTTATCAAGTTTAAATAAAGAAAAACACCATTTATACGCCAAGTAATAACCGTATTTTCTCTAACTATAGCATGTTTTAGCTGTGGTGTAACCCTATGCACCAGCCTATCAGTGCAGTTTGCAAAAATAAATAAATAATTAAGTAAGTAGTTGCAGGTATAATGGTTGAAATGGTTTCTGTTCTGTGAAAAGTTCCTGAACCATAAGGATAAGTCACTGCATTTCATTGTAAAAGGTCAAAATGTCTGTAATCTATATCCAGTTTCACATGGCCAGGAGAATTTTAGCATCTTTTTATTTGCAGTAAGAAAACCAACGTCATAAATTCTAAAAATAAGCAATGCTTGACAGCTTCAATTGTTTGGTCTGGTTGAATGTTAGAGAATGTCCACTGGGCAAACTTACAAGCCTCAAGCAAACAATTTTTTTCTCCCATCAGCTGAGGCTATTAGAGTTTGAGAATCAACTTTAAACTGCTTCAGTGATGGTGGAAGTCTCACAACAGATGAGCAAATTCCCTTGAATCTCAAGACATACATTATTACACATTTATTTTAAATGAACAAGGTAATTAAATAATTGCATACAAAGTAAATAGTGCAGAAAAATAAACTTTCTATCCAGATGATAGTCTGGTGATGTCTAAATTAACTTCCTTGATCAGAGAAAAAACAATATCTACATTTATGGCTGACTGGAAACCCCTTACAGACTTTTTGCATGAGATAGAAGAAATGCACTTACAACTGATTTTGATGATTAGAAAAAAAATAGATAATAGGAAAAAAGGAGGTTTTTGTAATTATATTTTCTGCAAAAGAAAAAGTAATAGCTTACAGACTTAGCTACACTTCTTTTTACTTACAGAATGTGGAAATGTCATTAGGGGAAAGTGGTATTATAAGATCTCTGAATTAAGAACATTCCCACCCCACTCCAGGAGAAGGATAGTGTAAAATCTCAATTTCCTCCTGATCAGGTGGGGGCAGTCAGAGGTGGTATTTACCGGTTCTCCGAACTACTCAAAATTTCTGCTACCAGTTTTCCAGAACTGATCAGAACCTGTTGAATACCACCTCTGGTGCAGAGACTTGGGATTTTCTGATATTCCATCCAAGTATTCATTACCCAAGCCAGCTTTTCAAATTTAGCTACAATTACAAAGAAACACTATATGTTAATTGGAAAAAACTATCAGGGAAGGTTCGAGGATACTGCATGAGGGACTCCAAAATACATGCAGGACAATCATGTTTTTACTGCAGTAATAAAAAGTACACATCCAAGTTCTTTCTGCACAAGAAATGCGTTCACAACCTGTTATAGTGGCTTTTTATACAACCTCAAAAACTTTATACTTAATTTTATAATTCCTTTCTACCCAGCCATCAATTGGAAAAAAATTTCAGGGAGTGTTATAAGAGCAGCAAAGGACTCTTTGGGAAATTTTCTTACATATTTTCAGTTACCCAGTTCTTACATCCACATGAAGCTTGTGTCAAAAGCTTGTGGATTCATAGAGTGACTAAACATATAATTAGTTTCCAAAATTTTAGTAGTTTATCAAAGTATAATATAAAATACAAAAATACAAAAGAAAATAATAAGAAAATAAGGAACGGGAAAGGGAGGGGGGAATCTGGGAAAGAAGGGGAGAAAAGAAAAAGTGTTGACTTCCAACTCCTTTGGCACAGTAGAATAAGGTAATAGCATAAAACTTCAATATATAATTTATAAATGTCAAAGGAAGGGGAAGAGGAAGAGAGGAGGAGGGGAGAGGTAAGGGAAGAAGGAAAGGAAAAGAGGAAGGAAGGAAGTAGAGAAGGGAGGGAGGGAGAAAAGAAAGGGAGAAGAAGATGGTGTCAAAACAGGCCAGGGATGGTAGCAATCCAAATAAAATGTTATAATTCTGTAAATGGAATGACAAATGTATAAGAACCATGAATGTAAAAAAAGAATAATAACTATNAGCTAGCAGCTGATGGGCGGGGGAGCGAGGGAGCTGCGAGCGCCAAAAAAAGCGTGTGTTTTTAAGAAGCGTGCGGGACGTGGGAAAATGTATGAAAAGGCGTGGCTGTCCCGCCAAAAGCGGGACGTCTGGTCACCCTAGTGAAATGGTCTTAGCAGTTTTCACTAAAACTGAAATTAATTTGTTTGCTCGTTTGGACAACTGTAACACATTTTCTGCAATGGACTCTACACCGCTTGTGCTGGCTTTGGAAGAAGAATCCCCAGTAAGAAATCTGTTATTGAACTTGGCAAATAAGAGGCAGGCAGGAAGACGAATTTTGCATCCCAGCCAGCCGAATAACGGATACGAGGATATTGAGACGTCAAAGCATGTTCTATGCAATTGGTGACCAAGCTCAAGTCCTTGCTGATCAACTTCATCAGTCTGTGCATACATTTGTAATCTAAGAAATATGAAGCAAAAATCAGTCAATGGCTTATCTTTCTATAGTTGTTTCTATGCTATATTTTATATAGAAAAAAAAAGGATTCTAACTTTCTGTTCTGGGAGAAAGGCACAGTGGGGGATAAGGTGTCAGGTATTCTTGTTGTGTGAAAACAACAAAGAGAAACCAATGGAAAGCTCTCTCCTCAGCCCAAAAATATTTATGATGTTTCAAAAGTGGAATGGCTACTTAGGGGGATGGGTAGAGACTATCAACTCTAGGCTCAGGCTTGTCATGAGGTGACCTGAGATAATCACTTCAAGCAGGATGCATTAAGTATCCTGAAAGGGTAGCAAATGGTCATTTATCATGTTATTTTATTTGTGCCAAGATGGAAAAACATAAAATTTTCTACCGAATATGGGAAAATAACCATGCTAGTTTGCACCTTGACCATCAGTGAAGGGGTGAAGGGCAACTGTTTCTGACTTATTTCAAACAGACGAATATCTTGTGTTGGCTTTGGTTACCTTTCTGGTTCCTCTCATGCTACTTCTGGGTAACACATACACAGATAAAAACCCTTCTAGGGTTCTCCTTTTACTCACAGGCATCCAGATAGGGTTGTCCATAAGTTTCTTTGACGTGTGGGGGTATCTTGTTGAACACACCCTGTAAGTGCTGATCCGGGTTTTTGAGCATATTTGTAGCAAAGCCTCCAGGTTCAATGATGCTGGTTCTGACTCCGAAAGGAGAAAGCTCTCGCCTGTATTGGAACAAAAGTATTACCTTTGCATAAGGAGAGCCGTAGGGTGGAGATATTAAGAGCAGGGAAACTGAGCTCTTACAGTCACAAATGTTCCTTGGGTTGCTTACTCCCTCTCATCAAACCTTTCTCACAAAGCAGAGGTGGTATTCAGCAGGCTCTGACCAGTTCTGGAGAACCGAAACCAGAAATTTTGAGTAGTTCAGAGAACCGGTAAATTCCATCTCTGACTGCCTCCGCCCCCATCTATTCTTTGCCTCCCGAGTCCCAGCTGATCTGGAGGAAATGGAGATTTTTAACCTTCCCCTGGAGTGAGGTAGGAATGGAGATTTTACATTATCCTTCCCCTGCCACGCCCACCAAACCACACCCACCAAGCCACACCCACAGAACCGGTAGTAAAAAAAATTGAATCCCACCCCTATCACAAGGTTATTTTTGTGGGAGAAATGGGTGGTTGAAGCAATATGTTCTCTGCCTTGAGTTCCATTGTGGGTATTCCAGTCTCCTTTTATTTTTGTGCAGATAAAAACTTGAGGCAGTTATCATATATAAAAACAATCTTCCCCAATTCTTTTCTAATTGTCTGTACAGTCCTAGTCTCAACTGAATATTCATCTTTAAAATTCTTTGTATCTGTGTGTGTGTTTGATTGCAAAATTTTCGGGCTTTTCTGCAAAGCCAAGCATGATAAAATGACTCTGTGTTGCCAACATTTCCAACATAGATTTGAAGTACTGTTAGACATTTTAAAGACAATTTTTCTGGAGTCATATGCCATTAAATCATCTTATAAACATTTCTTTTAAATTATAACCTAATCTGAATTTCAGTCCTTCTTAATCATATATTTTCCCACTGTTGCATGAATTATGTGCAAAATTCCTAGCTCATTTTATCATATAATCTTTCAATTTATTCTTCTTCCATTTCAAATTTCAAGAAAATTGCATACATTTTAGCCATTACACGTTCATTTGGTATAGTGGTTAAAGTAACAGGCTAAAAATGGAGAGAGTTCTAGTCCTCCCATAGGCATGAAAACCAACTGAGTGACTTTGGGCCAGTCTCTGTCTTATCCCAACTCACCTCAAGCAAGTTTTTGTGTGTTCAATGTTCTATTATCTATCGCAAATCTTACTTATACCTTTGCATATGCAACCGCTTGAATATTTTGAGAACTTCAGTACTATAACCTGCAGGCCAAATTTCTAACTGAAGCATGTCCCCACTAATTGTAGGCCAGAAGGACTAAGTGCCCTGCTGCTTCAAATGTGAGGGGGGGGTCATTTGTTGCTAAAAAAAAAATTACTCATTAATGAAGGTAAATATATATGTTCCAGGATAATGTTGCAGGATCCAGTGTGGGTCAGTTACCGGGACCAGAGTTAATGTATTCTGACCTTTTGGACTTGTGCTGGAGCATATCTTCAGGGAACTTCTCTCCAGCACAGTCTATTCCTTGAACGTTCTGTGTGTGATATTTATATGATGCCTGTTGTATGTGGTTTTTTAGATATTGATTGGGGTGTTGATAACTCACTATTAAATTGTTGACTGTTGTTTGCTTGTACTGTCAAGCCTTCAACAAATAAGTACTTGATAAGCTGGTGGTAAATCAGAGACTGAAAATAATGTACCTAGATTTAACAATATACCTAGATTTCAGCGAGGTATTTGACAAAGTAAATGGTAACCTATTTATTGATAAGCTAGAAAAATGTTTGATAAAAAGCACCACCACCAGATGGATTTGTAACTGGTTGACAAACGGAACTCAACAAGTAGTTCTTAATGGCACTAAATGTACATGCAGGGAAGTATGCTTTGGGGTAACATAATGTTCCCTTTTAGGTTCAGTACTCTATAATATCTTCATAAAGATATTTCCCTTAGAATAAAAGGGAAACTCATCAGATTTGCACTAAGCTGGCAGGAGTAGCCAACACCCCAAAAGACAAGCTCAGGATCCAAAAAGATCTTGACAGGCTTGAACAATGGGCCCTATCCAACAAAATGGAATTTAGTGTGAAAAAAAGCAAGTTTTTATACTTAGCAGGAAAAACAAAACGTACAAGTACAGATTAGGCAAAACTTGGCTCTAAAACAGTAATGGTGAGAGTGACATTGGAAATGTAGTGGATGATCACTTAAATATGAGCCAGGAGTGTGGGGCAGCAGCCAAAAAAAGCTAATACAATCCTAGGTTGTCTAAACAGAGGCATAGAACGAAAATCACATGAAGTATTAGTGCTGCTTTATAGTAAGACTACACCTGGAATACTGCATCCAGTTTTGGTCACCACATTTCAAAAAAGATGTTGAGAGTGGAAAAAGTGCAGAGAAGAGCAACTAAGATGATTAAAGGCCTAGAGATCAAAACATATGAAGAACAGTTATAAGGACTGGGTTTGGCTAATCTGGAGAAAGGAAGGACTGGGGTGACATGACAGTAGTATTCCAGTATTTGAGGGAATATTGTTTTCCAAAGCACCAGAAGGTAGGACAAGAAACAATGGATGGAAACTAATCAAGGAGAGAAACAACCTGGAATTATGGAGAAACTTCCATATAGGGAGAACAATAAACCAGTGAAACAGTTTGTCTTCAAAAGTTGTGGGTGCTTCATCACTGGAGGTTTTTAAGAAGAGATTGTACAGCCACTTCTCTGAAATGGAATAGGGTCTCCCTGTTTGAGCAGAGGCTTGGACTAGAAGACCTCCAAGGTCCCTTCCATCTGATTATTATTTTGATTGAAATGTGACTCCCAATGAGTCAGATTACCTGTGACTTGTGGGACAGATGGAGAAGAAGATTACCACCAGATTGCAAGGCAAGGGCTTGGCAGTACAAGCAAACAACAGCCAATGACTTAATTGTGAGCCATCCTTACCCCAATCAACATCTAAAAAGCCACATACACAGGCATCATATAAATACAACACACAGAACATCCCAAAGCACACACTCTGCTTGAGAGAGGTTCCCTGAAGATGCGCTCCATTCCAGCACCAGTCTGAAAGCTCAGAAGACAAAACCTCTGGTCCTGGTGACCAACTCAGATTAGATCCTGAAATTAAAATAACTACTAAGTTTATATTTTACCTCAGAGTGTCTGAGAAGGCTTCCACACCATGCTTGGATATGCTATACCCTCCTCCACCGCATGCTAATCTTCCCACCACACTGCTTATATTGACCAGCCTCCCTTTGGCTCTCCTCACCAGGGGCAACATCTGCAACGTCACATCAATCAGCCCAAGCAAGTTGACATCCAGCACCTTGGCAAAGTCCTCCTTCTTCAGCCACTCATTGGGAGCAACCGGATAATTAATGCCTGCGTTGTTTACTAACCCCCAAAGTCCTGTGAGGGGAAAAAAAGTGGGATTCAGGAGGATCTTCATGATTCTGTCTTGGAATAATATTAGCTGGAACCCTAATTCCTCCAGTTATGCTTTTTATGCCACATATAGCTCCCAAAGATAAAATTATTTAACAACAACACCCCTCCTCCCAAATACAAAAGTCAGTGAGAGGGAGTTTTGATCCACACCTTTCTATTCAGATATTGCCTTTAGACCTTTAGAAGGTGTGCATTCCTTAAGGATGGAGAATCGGGTATGGTATAGTGTTTGAAAAAGGTGGTCTACAAACCAGGACATTGAGTTCTAGGCCTGCCTAAGGCCCAAAAGCTGGCTAGGTAACCTTGGGCCAGTACTTTGTCTTATCCCAACCCATTCATTGGGTTGTTTTTGAGACGAAAATAGGAGGAAGAAATACAGGTAGTCCTCGATTTATGATGACCATTGAGCCGAAAATGTTTGTTGCTAAGTGAGACATTTGTTAAGTGAGTTTTGCCCCATTTTAGCACCTTTCTTGCCACAGTTGTTAAGTGAATCACTGCAGTTGTTAAATTAGTAACATGGGAATAAAATAAAATAAAATAATCTTTATTGTCACTTTTTCTGTTCACCCATTACCCTGGGTGGGTAATGACTGAGGCAAGGCAGAGGGAATTTAACTCTGTTTAATTAACAACAGCTAACAGGCAACAACAGAAGTAAGAATTGGCACCAACAACATTCAGTCAGGCTGCTATTTATACCTAGCAACTGTCAGCAGCTTAGCCAATGGTGCGAGGTTGTTTTTCCCGCCAGCTGGACTGTCAACGGCTCAGCCAATGGGCGGAGAGTCTGTATGAGTGCCCATGAGGCAACGTGTCCTCGGGGATGTAACATTTTCTATGTATATATTGACACATATTAAAATGAAATTCTGATGCCCAAAAATATATATGTATAGTATGTATGTAAGTATGTATCTGTACATACGTATGTACGTATGTATGTAAGTATGTATCTGTACATACGTATGTACGTA